TTACTCATTTTTAAATATGGAGTGGACGCTTAAAGAGGACCATGTTGCAGTTATTGCGTTGCATCGTTGCGGTTACGCGCCAATTCAAATTTTTGACATACTGAAAAATTTGAATATAACCAAAAGATTCGTTTATCGTACCATGAAACGATACAATGAAGACTCTAGTGTAGATGACAGGTCAAGAAGTGGTCACCCTCGGTCTGTTAGGACTCCAGCAGTGATAAAAGCTGTGAAGACGCGAATTTAAAGAAATCCCAAACGTAAGCAGAAACTGTTAACCCTTCAGATGGGGTTAAGCAGAACCACGGTGAAAAGGGTGTTAAATGAAGACTTAGGGCTTCGGGCATATCGAAGAAAAACAGGACGTCGTTTGAATGCTCGTCTAATGGACCTGAGACTGAAGAGATGCCGCGCTTTGTTGAAGCGGTACGCGGGAAATAAATATCGGGAAATTCTTTTTTCGGATGAAAAATTTTTTACCGTAGAAGAGAGCTACAACAAACTAAATGATAAGGTGTACGCACACAGTAGTGAAGAAGCGAGCAACCGTATTCCGCGTGTCCAACGAGGTCATTTTCCATCCTCGCTCATGGTATGGTTGGGAGTTTCTTATTGGGGCTTAACAGAGGTACGTTTTTGTGAGAAAGGTGTAAAAACGAATGCAGTTGTTTATCAAAATACAGTCCTAACGAACCTTGTGTAACCTGTTTCTCATACCATGTTCAATAACAGGCACTGGGTATTCCAACAAGATTCGGCGTCAGCTCATAGAGCGAAGAGCACACAAGACTGGCTGGCGGCGCGTGAAATCGACTTCATCCGGCACGAAGACTGGCCCTCCTCCAGTCCAGATTTGAATCTGTTAGATTACAAGATATGGCAACACTTGGAGGAAAAGGCGTGCTCAAAGCCTCATCCCAATTTGGAGTCACTCAAGACATCCTTGATTAAGGCAGCCGCCGATATTGACATGGACCTCCTTCGTGCTGCGATAGACGACTGGCCGCGCAGATTGAAGGCCTGTATTCAAAATCACGGAGGTCATTTTGAATAAACTATAGTGTCATAAGAATCTATGTTTTGTTAAGTTCATTTTGGTATATAAATGGTTACATAATGAATAAACTTGTTTCAATTATTTTATATTAAGCATGTGATAGAATTTATGACCTGACTAGGTAATATGCAATTTGGGTACAGATGATAAACCAGGGTCACATTGGGTAGCTTTATATATCGATACGAATGACGTCGGTCAATATTTTGATTTATATGGACGAGCACCTGTACGATATCATCTAGAGTTTTAGTTTTAGTTTTAGTTAGACAAAGGAATTGTAAAAGATGGAACTGGAATATTGATATGATTCAGAATGAGTGGACTTCAGTTTGTGGCGAATATTGCTTAATGTATTTGCTGTATAAGTTTCAGGGATGTTCAATGCATAGTTTTACGAGTATATTTACAGGGAACACATTGTACAATGATATTTTAGTGGATGAGATGTTTCGCTCCTATTTTATAGATAATAAGTAATAAGATTTTGTATTTTATAAATAAAAATTTTAACAAAATTAGGTAATGTGTTTTATTGTTGATTCAGATTAGTGTTGTAGATAGGAACAAAGGAGTATAATACAATAGCACTGATGAGCCGACGCACACGCTGACGAATAATAGATAATGACGGTATTCAATGAACAATAGATAAGAATAATGGGGCGCTAATGACGGTGGAGGCCCGCACCGAATATCAATTAGATAAGAGTTAATTGATCTGCACATCTCCGGAACCGTGCATCCTACGCAAAAATGGACCGTGCCAAAACCTTTTTTTTTTGAATCCTGTGTCGGCAAACGTCGTACTTGTACCACTTCTGACACAGTGAGCCAGAACTGGTACAACGTAACTACTATTGTTACTATCTGCGACGCTCTCCGCTATCATCTCACTGGTCCATTCCAATCCGATGCTGCCGAATATTCAGCTGAACTCTGCCCCCGCTATTAAGGAAGCATGGTTTTAATAAACAAGAGATACAAAGACTTGATATAGGTACGTAGTACTATTATTTATTCTGCGATACAGGGCTTAAACCATTTAACCATCTAAACTCTTAGGGCGGCTTTTCCGATACAGGTAAAGTAGAGTAAGCAGATCAATATGTTGCATATATAGTATATCTACTTATTACTTATGTATGTTATGCTTCTTGGCGCCTGAAGCGCCGGGAATTAAATAAACAGTAGTGCAGAATTTTTGAGTGGGGAAAGAATTAAAGTAATCTATAAATCTATAAACACTCACGCCTGTCACCCAGAGGGGTAGGCAGAGATTACAGACTCCCATGTGGCACGATCCTGACACACCTCTCTTGCCTCCTTCACATCCATACACCTACGCATACATACATAAGATATAGTAAGTAAGTATACATAGATAAGATATTACCTTGGGATCCTCAGTTACAAGAAATTAGTCGTAAAGTTTTTGCAGCTGCTCATTCTTTAAGAAGACTATAAAAATTTTACCAACTGCCACTAAGATTGCGCTTGCGCAAACTCTTCTGCTTCCAATCCTCGATTATGCAGACGTCAGCTATTTTAATCTCACTAAAATGCAACTTGATAAACTTGAGCGACTTCAAAATTTTTGTATAAGATTCATATTTGGTTCGCGTAAATATGATCATGTGTCAGATTTTCGTCACAGACTCAAGTGGTTGCCAATTCGCCTTCGCCGGAATACTCATACACTCTCGCTTCTTTATAATATTATTTTTAATCCTTTCTATCCTACTTACCTAAAAAATTGGTTTCAATTCCTCCAGGACTCACATTTGAGATCATCAGAAAATTTGGTGTTGAAAATGCCAGCTAACACTACCAAATTTTTGGACAGATCATTCACAATACAAGCTGTCCGTGGAATCACTTGCCGCTATCAGCAAGACGCGCTCAATCCCTTCTGGTTTCTAAGAATTATGTATATAATTATTATTTTCAAATTTGACTCTATGAAATTCCTCTAGCTCTCCACGGTGTACCATACTTTTCTCGAATCAATTCTGGCCATTTCAACCCCCTATAACTTCGTTTGGATAAAACTAGAAATCTGAATTTTCAAAAACTAAGCAGGCATTGTATAGACACGGTATATTTCAAATTTCATTCAATTTAAACCAGTAGTTTAGGAATTATAATTAGTCAAAGTTTCTTAATTTTGTCACTCACTGATTGACCGATCATCAAAACTCTAAGGCACTTCTAGCAGACAGAAAAGCTTCAAACTTAGAACGCAATTAGTGTTTAGTGTATGAATCAAGGAAAAACTAAAATATTTTTCAATTTCGGTCTGGTTTTCCAGATACACCAACTGCACAAATAACTTTGTAATCCCTTATAAATATATGGGATTACAAAGTTACATTTGAATGAATCAGTGTACCTGTATAATGTATATGTATAACTAGCTTGCCAGGCAGACGGTGTTCTGCCCTTTTCGACAATCCTTTGTCATGTCCTATGAAAAATACTTAAATTCGCAAAAAAAAAAAATGTGGGTCACTAATGGGCAAAAAAAACTATCCTATCTCTCAAGGTGGACCAAACTGCACACGGTGTGCAAATTTGATTAAGATCGGTTAAGTAGTTTGGGATTCCATCGCGGACAAACAACGTGATACGTAATTTATATATATTAACATATAATGGAATAAAATGTGTAGATAGTTGGTAATCAAGAAGTAGAAGGTACCGGAAGGGAAAAAGTAGGACTATCTGCAAAAAGAAATGAGATGCGGTCAAAAACATAACTTGTAAAAAAAACTAAATCTCGCAACTTAGCTCTTCTATCGTAAAAAGTTGTGAGATCCATGTAATACCAAGTCGGTTAATTTATTCAGTCCCTACTTAAGGGTCCTTCTGTTTTAAGTTATTACGTAATTAGCTAACATAACATCGTGTTGCGACCATATCAATATTATATCCATAATAATATCACGCCTTTCTGATGGTGTAATACGAAGGTGGATATACGATATAGGATCTCAGCGACGCCACTAGATAGGACAATCGTTTTAAACCTCATTTGAAAGGGCTCATAAAGACCTAGGTGACTGTTATGATCTCACCTTTCTGGTGGTGCAATTTAAAGGTGTATATAGGATCTCAGTGACGGCACTGTTTTTATTAATATTAATTTATAGGAGACGCAATTTTATCATCGGGAGAAAACAAAGAAAAATAAAGAAACTAAACTAAATATAGTGTACCTATATCGTCGGTCGAATCACGAAGGGGCGTATCCCACAAATATTCGATTTTTAGTTATCTCCACCATCGTAATCTATAAGGCAAGTTTTATAGCGTCACGAAAGGGCGTAATTTAAAACACACCGGAAACAGATTTACAAACAATTACGAAAAGCCCTATCTGCTATTCATCCCAATTTAAAAATCACGAATAGTCGTATCCACCAGTTACGCCTATTCTTACCTGTTCCCATGCAATTTTTTTTCACGAAGAGGCGTAACCTATCTAACGTGATTACGCGAGTGAAACAATGACAGGTCAAGACGTGTTAAGCAGTCGAGCGAAGTTAGTTGCAAGTTAATAAGGTGCATTGTTTGTTTACGAATATTAAAATTAATAAAATTCTGTCTTCAAAGTGAATGAATACTTATTTTAAGAGTTACTTTTATTTGTGTTTTATACAAATCACAAGGTTATTTTACAGTAATGTACCTATTGCTTTTAAACGCACAGTTACCTAAAAGATGAATTAATATTTTAGGTTAAAATTTTAGAAAAGTTATTTATTTGTTATTGCAATGTTTTGTTACCTAAACCATAGTTTAAATAATATGCAAGTTACAATGTCAGTGTTTAACTATTCCTAAATGTGACAGTGTGTAATTAATTTTCTTATTTACGGTTAAATTATTCTTTACAGATACCTACTATCTACTTAACTTTCTGTGGGATGGTTTTTCAATGATGGACGTGTTAGTTACATGGAAAGATGGCACTCAAAATGTTGTACACACACGGGAATTATTTCCAATCAGAAAAGGTCAGAAGATAACACTTGGTACAAAGGTGAAAATGTTGTATGAACGAAAATGGTGGTATGGTACAGTAACTGTTGTCGAAGCAAAAGAATACTCTTCGTCTGAAGACGAACCACTTTCAACTTATGTTCCTGCAAACCGTGTGCAAAATTGCTGCGAGTACATTAACTGTCATAATCCTATTTTGACTACTTGTACGGAAAGTGCTTGTTTCTTGTGCGCTGAACATTACCAAGAAGACGCTTCCTGCTCTAATCGTATTTTAGTTAGCAATAACATATCCACATCAAAAAATCAGGATACCAGCTATGAATTATCATTAACCAATTCAGAAAAAAAAATTTATGATACAGTATGCACTGATGAAAATTATATAGATATACAGAATGAATACCAAAAATGCTGTCAGTTTTCGATTTGTACTGATGAGGTATTTAGTGCATGCCATCGTTGTTCATGTCTCCTTTGTTATGAACATTTTGTCAACAATTGCTCTACCTGCGAAAATCATCTAAACTTTGAAGCTGACTTGACGTTAACAGAAACTTTAAAATTTGATTTTGGGCAAACTGATATGCAGCAGACTTGTGAATATGCCAACTGCACTAACCCTGTACTAACGACATGCTTTGCTTGTTCTTGTTTACTGTGTGATATTCATTTTGCGTCTGTGCTTTATATGCAATCATGTTCTGATCATAAAAAAAATCCAGCCTCGCTTGCTGATTTCGATATTACCGAAATTGAGAATGTTTCAAATGATTCTGATGCAACTATGGTCTTATCTGACACTCGCGACTCACCCAGTATTTTAATGCAGAATACAGTTTTGGAACCACAACAAGACAGTTATTTGGCCCCAGAAGACTTTATAGTAGATGGCGTTTCCCGAGAGGAAGAAAGATCGAAACCTGTTAGAAAAAATAAATACAAAGAAGCCAAGGTTTTGCGACACGCAGGACAAGAATATATTTCGCCATATACAAAAAAAAGTAGTTCCTGGAAGGAAGGTTGGTTCATTATGCAATAATTTAGAAAATTGCACAAAGCAAGGCCTGTACTGTTATCGTTTTAATGAACAAATACGCGAAAATATATTTATGGATTTCTATTCATTAGCAGATCTAACTTTGCAAAGAGAATATATAGTGAGATTTGTTGAAAAAAAGCCCGTAGGACGCAAAACTACTGCCACAGAATCTCGTCGGAAGTTTACCAACTGCTTTTACTTACCATTAAATGATGAGAAGCAGAAGGTATGCAAGAAAATGTTCCTCAATACTTTGGGAATTTCAGAAAAGACGTTTCGCACAGCTTTGCAAAAATTAAAGAACACCGGTGTAGTAGAAAAAGACAGAAGAGGAGGAAGGCAAGAGGTCTATCATGAAAGGGATACTCAGCTGCGATCACTCATTACTGAACATATTAACAGATTTCCGCGTGTTGAGTCTCTTTATTGTAGAAAAAGTAGTACAAAAGAATATCTCCACCATGATTTATCTTTGAAAAAAATATATGGTATGTTTTTAAAGGAGTATAACCAACCCGTAAGTATGACACTTTATAGAAATGTATTCAAAGGCATGAATTTATCGTTCCATAAACCAAAAAAAGACCAATGCAGTTTATGCATGACATACAGAGAAGGTACAAGCGAGGTGAAAGAGAAGCTGCAGAATAAATATGATGCACATATTATAGAAAAAGAAGAAGTATGACGAATTAAAAACGAATGCAAGAATCGAGCAATACAAAATATAACCACTTGTTGTGCTTCGTTCGATTTACAGCAAGTCATCTATTTGCCACAATCCAATGAAAGTGCTCTTTTTTATAAAAGACGTTTGGCTAATTATAATTTCACAATTTATGATTTAGCCTCCAAAGACTGTATATGCAACTTATGGAATGAGACAATCAGTAGAAGAGGTGCCTCTGAAATTTCTACTTGTGTTTATTATTTCTTAACAAATTGTGATAGAAAGAGTGTGAAAGAAGTATTCTTATTTTGCGATGGCTGCTCAGGCCAGAATAAAAATTCCGTGATGGCGGCTATGCTCTTATACTTAATAAATAATTGTGAATCTATTGAAGAAATTAGTTTACGATACTTCTGTTCGTTCCATGGGCAAAGCGAGGGCGATTCTGTCCATAGCGCGATAGCATTTGCAATGGCAAAGGCTGGGAACGTCTTTGTTTCATGCCAATTGGAGCCGATCATACGATTGGCACGCAAAAATCCATACGAAGTCAAGGTACTCAATTACAATGATTTTAAGGATTTTAAAAATCTTGCCTTAAAGTTAAGGTTACTTAAATTAAAAAACGATAACCAGACAGCCGCCCTCTTTAAATGGACAGATGTTATGGAGTTAAAAGTCTCACGAAAGTCTCAAAGTAGTCTATTTTTTAAAACGAGTCACAAGGATAAAGAATACAGATCGATATCAATAAAAAGACAAGATGTCAAAATGGCTGAAGGAAGAGGTGGGACATTTAAATAAATCTCATTATGAGATATCTAAAGAAAAATATAACGATTTAATTTCTATGTGCAGGGGAGAGACCCCTTTGATAAGATGCCGGGAATATCAAACTTATTATGAAATCCTACCACATCAATAAGATATTGTTCCATTACTTAATATTACAGTCTTTCTTTATTTAATAGTGTTTTAATTTATAGTCTTTTATTTCTTTTATAGTTAAGATAGCCGGACGTAAATGTTATTTTGAAATATTTGCACATGACAAAAGGGCGTAAGTGAATTTTTTTTCAAAAAAAAGGAAATATATCTACAAGTAACTAAAGTAAACTAATAAACTAATTTAATATCAAAAGAGGATTAGTTATCAATCCTAACGACAGTCCTGTAAACTGCGTAGTAGTTTTACATATAAAGTTACGACGGTGCATCACGGTGGACTTTATTGAAAATCGCTCTACTGTAAAATTGACTAAAATCACTTACGCCCCTTCGTCATTCGACCGACGATATGTGTTATGTAACTTAATACAATACGAAAAATTTATTATTTTATAAAACTTAACATATTTGATTATCAAACAAATCAAATAACTATTTTATTAATCCTACAATTTTTTTCTTTATTTTTTCAAAAACATTACTCCCCCTCCCTGGACTAGAAAGGAAACGGTATTAACATCAATGGCGAGTACATCACTCCCCTTCGATTTGCCGACAATACGAGTGTAGTCCTTATTGTAGAATCGCTTCAAGACTTAAGCACTATGCTCAATTACCTCAATAGTGCCTCCTAACGGATAGGTCTTAAGATGAACATGGACAAAACAAAGATCATGTTTAATGTCCATGTCACATATGCCCGTAGTGGTTGGGAGCACTAAGCTCGAAGTTGTTGACGAGTACGTTTACCTGGGACAAATAGTCCGACTAGGTAAGTCCAACTTCGACCGAGAGGTCAATCGACGGATTGAACTCAGCTGGGCAGCGTTCGGAAAATTACGACACATCTTCACATCAGGTATACCTCAAAACCTGAAAACTAAATTGTACAACCAGTGCGTGTTGCCAGTGACGACTTATGGAACCGAGACGTGGTCCTTCACTGCTGGCCGTATGAGGACGCTCAAAGTTGCTCAGTGAGCTATGGAGAGGGCTATGCTCGGGGTTTCTCTGCGTGATAAACTTAGAAATGAGGATATCCGCAGTAGAACCAGAGTGACCGACATAGCTCAACGGATTAGTAAGCTGAAGTGGCAATTGGCCGGCCATATAGTTCGAAGAATCGATATGGTGTTTGTGAAGATGATGATGATAATGATGATTTGGATCCCAGTATCGTGGAGGCAGTTTCTATTATCATTGTTTTAATTCATCATTACAGCCCTTCACAAGTCCACTGCTGATAATAGGCCTCCCCCAAGTAATGCCACAAAGCACAGTCCTGAGCCACCTGCATCCATCGACTTCCTGCATGTCTTACCAGGTCGTTACTCCATCTAGTGGGGGGTCGCCCTACACTACACCTACCGGTACGAGGCTGCCACTCGAGAACCTTCCTTCCCCATCGGTTATCGGTTCTTCGAGCTATATGGCCGGCCCATTGCCACTTCAGCTTACTAATCCGTTGGGCTATGTCGGTCACTCCGGTTTTACTGCGGATATCCTCATTTCTGAGTCTATCACGCAGAGTAACTCCGAGCATAGCCCTCTCCATAGCTCGCTGAGCGACCTTGAGCGTCCTCATACGGCCAGCAGTGAAGGACCACGTCTCTGATCCGTAAATCATCACTGGCAACACGCACTGGTTGTACACTTTAGTTTTTTTTTTTTTATAGAATAGGGTGACAAACGAGCACACAGTCCACCTGATGGTAAGTGGTTGCTGCGGCCCATAGACATCTACATCTGTCTTCCATTACAAATCAAAATGCAGATGCGTTGTCACCCGCGAGGACTGAGATGGAATGCCTCATTTCCAGTAAAAAGGGTCTCCGGTTCTCTACACTCACCATACGAAATACAGCAGCATTAAGCTACTATTTCACGCTGGTATTCTGTGAGAGCGTGGTCCTTCCCCCGGTCGAGCCGTTTTCAGAGATTGAGGTATACCTGACGAGAAGATGTGTCGTAATTTCCCGAACGCTGCCCAGCCGAGTTGAATCCGTCGATTGACCTCTCGGTCGAAGTTTGACTTACCTAGTCGAACTATTTGTCTCAGGTAAACGTACTCGTCAACAACTTCGAGCATAGTGCTCCCCACAACTACCGGCATAGGTGTGACATGGACATTGAACATAATCTTTGTTTTGTCCATGTTCATCTTAAGACCTATCCTTTGGGAGACACCATTGAGGTCATTGAGCATAGTGCTAAGGTCCTCCAGCGATTCTGCCATAAGGACTATATCGTCGGCAAATCGAAGGTGAGTGATGTACTCGCCATTGATGTTAATACCGTATCCTTTCCAGTCCAGTAGTTTGAAAACGTCTTCCAACGCAGCGGTGAAGAGTTTCGGGGATATAACGTCACCCACTCTTACACCTCTCTGCAGTTTGGATAGGTTTCGAACTCTGGTTCTGTACTCGGATAGCCATCGTAGCCCTACTGTCCAAACACTTCAGCACCTCGATATACCGACAGTCAACTTGGCACCGCTGAAGGGACTGTAGCACCGCCCAAATTTCGACGGAATCAAAGGCTTTCTCATAGTCCACATACGCCCGGCAAAGTGGCAGATTGTACTCTTCGGTCTTCTGTACAATCTGCCGCAGGGTATGTATGTGGTCTATCGTACTAAAGCCTTTTCGGAAACCGGCTTGTTCGGGAGACTGGAAGTCGTCGAGTCTGCGTGCGAGACGATTCGTAATGACTCTCGAAAACAGCACGTAAACGCGGCTCAGAAGGGAAATCGGTCTGTAGTTTTTCAAGAGAGCGTTGTCACCTTTCTTGAAGAACAAGACCACCGTACTTCTGCTCCACGCCTCCAGAGCAGTGCCACCATGGAGGACGGAATTGAAGAGCTTCTGAAGGACTTCAAGTACCGGTGTTCCACCCGCTTTCAGAAGCTCCGCTGTAATTCCATCCTCGCCTGGGGCCCTGCCGTTTTTAAGGTGCTGGAGAGCCATTCTAATCTCGCTCAGACTGACGTCCGGGATATCATCGGAATAGTGTCGGGTAAGACTTGCTCTTGTATCGTTACTCACACTTGCGTGTGGCTCCAACGATGATGTGTACAGCTGCTCATAGAACCTCTCAATCTCACTCAAAATCTCAGGTGTCCCGGAAATGATGCTGCCACACTCAGTCTTCAGCTTTGACAGTTGGCTCTTTCTGGCAAACAGATCTTTGGCAAAGACTATGGAGCCCTGGTTCCGCTCAATCGCTTCTTTAATACGAGCAGTATTAAAGTTGCGTAAGTATTGCCGCATGCATTTGGAGATCTGCTTGTTCAGTTGCCTGTATGCTGTCAAATCTGTTGACGATTGCAGCCTCATCTCCCGTCTAACAGCCATGAGATTAAGAGTGTGATCGGAGAGTTTTTGTGTTCTTCTACGGCGGGTCTTGCAGAACTTAGCTCCGACCGCATGGACAGTTTCCACGAGCTTGTCATTCATATCGTCCACTGCATTGCAATCTTTTAGGTACTGAAAGCGGTTACGTAACTCGAGCTGAAAAGTCTCGGGATTCTGGATCAGAGCACGAGGGGGACGGAGCGTTGATTTCATTAGACGATACCTCTCCAACTTAACGTTTAGGTTCAGTGTGCCTTTAACCATTCGGTGATCGCTGCCGGTTTTCACCCTTGCGATCACTGAGACATCACTGAACAGTTGGCGTCTGGTCGACATAATGAAGTCAATCTCATTTTTTGTCGAACCGTCGGGACTCGACCAGGACCACTTCCTGTGGGGCCGCTTCTGGAAGAATACGCAATACATGCTGCGTCTATAGGCATTGACGTTTCTCGTTATTGTAGCACCATTATTAGCGCGTTCGCTCGATGCTCGACGCAGGGGCGGGGTGACACCCATGGTCGCGCGGTGGGCTAAGCGTTTAAATGTGAATATCGACTGTCGATATTTTTTTCAATAAAAAGTTTAAATTTTTTTATTTTGTCTCGTAAATAATTTAATCTACTAGGTACTACACAATCTTCTGTACTTTATTTTATTCTATAAATTTTTCGCCAGTTTATTTATTTGCTTACTATCTTAAAAAGAAATGTAATTTTGTATATTATATCTCTGTGGTATTGAAATTACTGTAATCTATGAAACATATACTAACTGTGTGTTTTGGCAGGAACTTGACCGTAGACGGATTTTTGAATTTTTGCTTCTATTTTATCGCTTAAACCATGGAGGTTAGAGGACAGGATAATAATAATATAAATTTATTGACATTTTTTGCCGCGCTGCCGTCGGTAATTAGTATCTGCGAAGTAAATTTTTGACAAAAAGAAACATTAAAAAATGGTGAAATATTATAAAACAATAATAATAATACTAATAAGGTAAATAATAATAATACTAGGCGTAGGGAAGTGACGACCCCATCACCCGCTGACGTAACGGTTATGTGACAAAACCGCTACGTCAGCGCAGTCAGTCAGCACCTTGCCAAGAGGTGTTAGTGCCGTGCCTCGGCAAAAATTAAAAGTGCAAAGGCCCGCTTGTGCACATGGCCTAACCATGAAACGGCGCCGGGTCTGGGCGTCTCCCGCTAAATGACGCCCTAAAAATGAATGATGGAATTAAATAGAACGCGCAAAGGGCCGCTGCCTGGAGGTCGCCAGGGCGCGTCTGGAGCTGGCGCTGGACGCGACAGCATGCGAACCGCCAGCCGAGCGCGAGGTGCTGCACGACCACTCGCATCCATCATCCCCACCAGCTGGCTTGGTGTTGGCAGGGTCTTCGCGGGCCCAGCAATCGGCACCCGCCACTGGTGGAGTACACCGCATGCGTTGGACAACCCAAATGAACAGCAACGCATTGCGGGCGTATTTTAGGGCAAAAGGGGGAGAAACTGGAGGTTTTGCGTATCGGGCAAGGATGCATCGACTTTTTGCTGAGCTGGAGCCATCTGTAACCGTCACCGAGCAAAACCTGGCAGACCGAGTTCGGTATATCTTGCGCTCAAATACATTTGATGTCACCGAAATCGAACGGCTACGACGTGAGGCTGTTCCTTCATCGGGTGAAAATGCTGCGGCTGAGGATGCGGCGCCACAACTTGCTGAGCAAACGGCAAATGTGGATGCCGCCGTGAATACGCCAGTTGTGGTTGATTCAAACGATGATGGAACAGTCGCCCAGGAACTGGAACTAGAGCAAATGAGGAGTACATTGGAAGAGGCGATTGTGGAAACGCGCAGTACGCCTCTCGAAAATCGACCGCGACTTCCCCCGCTTAGCCCTAGGAAAGCAGAATCGGGCTGTCGTGAGGGCTCTGAACCCAATGCTGGTTACCTATTTGGAAGCCAGCCGGGACCTTTGCGAGACGGACTCAATTCTTTTTGGCGCCGCACTGGCAGTCTGCCGTATTATAGGCGCCAAACTTTCCACGGCTGGACGCGCTACTGGACAAAGTAGTGCTATCCCAGCCTGGAGAATAAGAATTGAAGAACGTATCGCAAAGGCTAGGGCCGTCATCGGCAGACTAATATGTTTCAGGTCAGGCAATACCAGGCCAAGGATTGTGCGCACCGTCAGGATGGCGTTTGCTGGGACAAATGTTAGTTGTTTAGTAGTTTGTCCCAGCCGGATATAATGCAAAAACTGACGGAGCGCATAGACGACCTGAAGCAAAGAATCGCTGCTTGGGGAAAGCGGATTCGGCGATATACCGAGAGGTCGACACGGTTCAACCAGAATCGTATCTTCCAGAGTGATCAGAAGAGGCTCTATAAATCATTGGAGCGACCAATAGTAAGTGGAACGGTCCCAGCACCAAATCAGGCCGATACGGTCGCATTCTGGCGCAGCCTGTGGTCGGAGCCCGTAAACCACAACAAGGGCCCTTGGACGGAAATTGTGGCGAGTCAGTGTGCGGGTATTACGCCCATGGACCCCGTCATCATAACGCCGGATGACGTAGCTGAGGCGGTCCGTACGGCCCCGAACTGGAAAAGTCCGGGGCTTGACGGGCTGCATCACTACTGGCTGAAGGGGTGCATGGTGTGTCACGCTGTGCTCGCCTGACAGTTTCAAGAGGCTCTCAACCAGAAGTCGCTCCCAAGCCTCTTCACTACTGGGATCACTCATTGGATTCCTAAAGATCAGGGTGCCACAGACCCGAGCAAATACCGCCCCATCACGTGTCTACCAACCATATACAAGACACTAACATCCATTTTGAGCGCGAGAATCGCTCGTCACCTGGACTCAAGTCAGGTGATGTCGCGCGCTCAAAATGGATGTCGGGGCGGCGGTCGTGGAACCAAGGAACCACTCCTCATCGACGCGGTCATTGGCAAAGTGGTGAAACGCTACCGTCGGAACTTCTCCGCCGCCTGGATAGATTACAGAAAGGCATTTAACTCGGTGCCCCATACATGGCTAAAGAGGGTCCTCGAGCTGTAGAAGATTGACTGTACAGTTCGAGACTTCCTCGAGCAGTGTATGGGGCAGTGGAGTACGATCCTCCGTCATCTAGGCGAGCGGATGACGGCTGCGGAAAGCCGCATAAGGATAGGAAGGGGTATATTCCAGGGCGACTGTCTGAGTCCAATATGGTTCTGCCTCTCTTTGAACCCTCTCAGTACTTTACTGGAGGGCTCCGGGAGGGGATATCAGCTTCCGAAATGAGGTACAAAAGTGACCCACCTTTTCTATATGGTTGACCTCAAATTATTCGCTTCCAGTCGCTCCCATCTTATGGAATTGCTAAACATCACTTGTGAATTTAGCAATTCTATTAGAATGGAGCTGGGGACGGATAAGTGTGCGGTCCTCCATGTTGAAAGGAAAGGGGAACTCTGAGGGTATAGATTTATCTATGCCCGTCAACTTAAGGGCCCTTTCCGAGGCTGAAACATACCGATACCTGGGTATGTCACAGAACATCGGTATCGATGAGGCAGGTATGAAACAGTCAGTTTGCGACGTGTTTTATGCAAGCTTGACCAAAGTGCTTAACAGCCTTTTGTCCGGTGTGAATAAGACACATGCATATAACGGTTGGGTAATGCCTGTCCTCATGTATACCTTTGGCTTACTCAGGTGGAGTCAGGCTGAACTTAACGCCCTGGATAGAAAAGTCCGCACTACAATGACATCCCATAGGATGCATCATCCGAGATCGTCGGTAATGAGGCTGTACTTGCCGCGAAAGCATGGTGAGCGTGCCTACCTGGGCGCGCTTACCGTGCATAATCGCGAAGTGTGCAGCCTCCGTCATTATTTCCAGGCGAGATCGTATGATCCATTTTATAATGACGTCATATCTAGTGATAAAGGACTTACCCCTCTATCATTAGCCAACGAGCAATGACAAGACGCGGCAGTACAGAGCATATCCGACCGGGAGACCGTATGGGAGGAGAAGGAGCTCCACGGGAGGTACTATAGGGCTATACATGAGCCTCACATAGATACAGCCGCCTCCCTCAACTGGCTACGTTTCGGTGACCTCTTCGGGGGAAACCGAGGGTTTTGTCTGTGCAATAAAGGATCAGGTTATTAAGACTAACAACTATCGGAGATACATCCTAAAGGATGGCACTGTCGACGTCTGTCGAGCTTGTCGCCATCCCGGGGAGTCACTTAGGCATGTCATCTCCGGTTGTTCGGCGCTTTCTAACTCTGAGTGCTTGCACAGGCACAACCTAGTAGCCAGAATTCTACACCAGGAGCTCGCTCTGAAACACGGTCTCGTGGACCGAAAATTGCCGTATCACAAGTACTTGCCGGAAGCCGTGCTCGAAAATGACCGCGCCAGGCTCTACTGGGACCGGGCCATCATCACAGACAGGACTATTCTTGCGAATAAGCCTGATATTGTGCTGATGGACCTGGCTCAGTCAAGGATATTTTTGATCGACATTACCATTCCGTATAACGAGAACCTCGTGAAAGCCTAAACAGATAAACGAACAAAATATCTGGACCTGGCTCACGAGGTGACCGACATGTGGGGTGGTATGCCAACCGAAATTATTCCTGTAGTCGTCTCTGCGAATGGGCTAATCCCTGTCAGCCTCTCGGGTCATCTGAGGGGCCTGGGACTCCGTGACGGACCGCTCCGGACTCAAATGCAGAAGGCGGTGCTCCTCGATACCGCCCGCATCGTCCGCCGGTTTCTTTCCCTTTCCCCCTAACCCTCGGCCGTTTGGTCTCCCCTACCGAGGGCTCCCATCTGGTTGGACCTTATTTATTTATCTAGTTTTTGTATTTATTTTATTTTATTGATATTTATGTATATTTATCTTTTCATTTTAATTTATAATTATATATTTATGGAACCCAAACAGATGAGAAAACTATATAAATCAATAATAATACTAATAATAAATCAGTAACAATAAATAATTTATGTTTGTAATAATTTATAATATTTATAATGATTAAAATTATAAAAAACACAATTTATAATTTATTTATTAATTAATAATAATAATTTCGTTATTTTCTTTTTTTCTTTGAATGATATTATAATCATTTCAAATTTAGCGTCCGCTTTATTGAGACAACTTAGCGATCGCAGCGCCTCACTTATTTTGTTCATATTTCTGGGACACTACAGCGATCGTTCTCCTGTTCTCTAACCTCTATGGCTTCACCTCTCGAGTGCCCAAACGTCATAAAATCGAAAAGCGCCAAGGCTAAATTTAGCGTATGAATCATAAAGGTTAGAGAAGAGAACGATCACTACGTACTAAAGCATAGCCAGGCGGGCTATGCTTTAGTACGTAGTGATCGTTCTCTTAAAAATTGTAGAATACATAACGGCGCTGACGTCGGTGAGTAGTGACTGCGCAGTTAGCTGTTTATAAGTACAAGTAGGTAAAGTTAGTTGAATATTGTACAAATTTTCATTTCAAAAAGAATCATTAAAATATGGAGCAGTATTTTATTGTGCGTGGATGTGCAAGTGGTTGAGCATCTGATCGGAAAAATAGACTGAAAATGACTTTTATTGACTGCACTTAGTGATCGCATCGTCTCACTGATGGTGTCCATATTTCTGGGACACTATTTTCAACGGTGATCGTTCTCCTGTTCTCTAACCTTCATGGTATGAATTATGGAGTGTAGAAGTAAGGAGTACAGACTGTGTATTAAAAAGTGTCCCTAGAAAACCGTTAAATAAGGGTGGCGCCACTATAACTACGGGGTATACTTTAAAGAACGCACAGAAAAATATTAGTGGGATAGACGACTTTTTCGAGGTTATATTTACTAAATAAAATTATTTTAGATTTTAGAGCTACTGAACAGTATAGCTGCACACTTAAACCGTCGACAACTGCTAAGTTCATTTCATCCCAATAGCTACTCCAGCGCTGTTGTGGAGAGTTTTTGAACTGTTGCTTACTGCTTACAGATGGCCGCTCTTTCAACTATTCTACTATGGGAGTTGGTATTCCTTGCTTCTACACTCCATAGTAGGAATGTAAGTTAGCGGCATTAAATGGTTCTCAAATAATAGATAAACACAAGACTTCTCTTTTCTTCACATAATTATTGTATTTACTATCTTATTTTGTTGTATTATGTGTAATAGTAGGTGTATGATAGAGCAAGTTAGACGAACAAGATCCATTCCTTTATTTTGTATTGGTAGAAGGGTAATGTAGTACCATGAGTAGGGACTTGTTTACTATGAAAGTAATGGCAATGAATATAATGTTAATTTAATTTTATATAATATGTTTATTAAACTATAATTTATTTCAGTTTTTATTTATTTCCAGACTGACAAAGCGTATTCCCGTTTTATTTTGTGGAATCATAAGCTGGTCCCTCGCAAATTATTGCTGCAGAACCACAAGCAGGGCCTTCAAAATGGACAACATTATATCCACCGAAGAAGAACCACAAACATATCAAAAGCATATCAGATAATGTTGAACCTGAAAAAGAAAGTACTATATATGAAAAATTTAAAATTATCTACACAAGGCAAATTTTTGTAATCTAATATTTAATATGTTTTATAACTTTGAATTATAATTATTCTATTTATAAGCTGCATTTCATACTTAATATATTGCATATAATATAGAGATATTTTTTTTGTGTTAATTCAGGGAAATAGATAGACAACCAAATATATAAGCAAAACAAAATTATTATTTGTGGATATTGCACTTGTGTGTAGGAGCTTATTTATTAATTAACTTGTTTCTGATTTAAATATTGATATTTTGGTTATTGTGTAGGCATTCTATGATTTGTGATTGTGCATATTATCAATTCGTTTAAGATTGTAAATCTTAAATATTATGTTTATCATTGTTTTACATAAGTAATTGAAATATTGTAATCAATATTTATTTTCTTTTCATGTTTAAACTCAGCAAATGTCTTTATAGAAAGAAATAAGCTGCTAGAGAAATTTTGTCTTAAGTTATGTATGTTTTTTTTATTTT